GCATGCATGTAAACGCAAAATAGGAGGAGAACGAAACGCACATTTGTGTCGTTCCTTTTATTGGCAACGATACAAACATATTATGGTTTCACTGTTGAATTGTGCTTGTTTTGTGTATACATGTTGAGCTAGGGGAATATCACACTCCTGAATCTTGTGAGATATTTGAGATATTTGAAATAAACATCAATTGTATGACATATTTTCGAATATTTCGAATAAATAAATCAGATTTTTGTGGATTTTGGAGATATTTGAGATTTTTTGCATTAAATCCAAATAAATACATTTAAATATCATTCATAATCACAAAAATTCACAAATATCCACCATATTTCATACGACAGATTCTTAGAGATAAATTGGATTATTTTGAAATATTTGAAATAATTTAAGCGTGATATTCCCCTAGATGTTGAGTACGCTTGAAGAATACATCATGCGTGTTTTCCGATTTTATCAATTAGGTTCGCATAAGCATCACCAATTCGATGCGCATCGATAATAAAGAACCCAAAAAAAATTAATTGACAATAAGTACGAATGGCGCAGAGTTTCATTGAGTAATGTACGATGAATGGAGGAACAACAAAAATGAAAGCGAAAAAAAATCAAAACCAACACACTCACACTCACTAGGTCGGTCGCATTCCACTTTGATCGGGTATACGCATGATCAAGGTCTTTAAAAAGCAGTCACCATGTAGTTCGATAATTGGAGCGTATTAATTTTGTTTAATGGCGATTGACATTTTGGACTTGTGTGCGTTTCGCGAACACAAATCACTGTTGTATTTCGTCATCGATTGAATCAAATTCGAAATGGTGCTACGTTGTGCAAGAATGAGAGATAGAGAATAGAAGCAAAGCAATAAACCGACAAGAATGGATTATTTATTCCAGATTTCTGACACAATGGCAACCACTCACATACACACTCACACACACGCTCCAAATCAAGTATAAACAAAATCCTAGATAGAGAGTGGGACACAGAGAGAGAGAGAGAGAGAGAGAGAGAGAGAGAGAAAATAAAAATTCGTCGTCGTAGACGACGAAGACAACGTAAAAGTACATAGAAAGAGAACCCTTGTCATTATGGAGCGATCATTGGGATACATTCATTGTGTCATTTTTTTTTTTGTTGTCATCGTTTTTTTTCTGCTGTGCGTAATTTGGTGTTATTGTTAGTTTCAGTATGACTTATTGTCAGTCTGGTAATATGAAAACAAATCGGAATGTCGATACGTTTGCCTATGATATTTTTGATGTTTGTTGCTATGGTTATCATTGTGCAGAGTATATTTACAGATGGATTCATCATCGATAGATGAATTTATGCGATAAATTTTTTAGATAAATCGTATGCGTTGCGTTGTTTTAACGCATTTGCAGTATAAAAACGAAGAGGAATTTATTAGAAAGGATTGGAATCCATTAGAAGGGATTGGATACCAATGGATCCCAATTCCTTCCAATGAACTCCTCTTCGTTTTTATACTGCAAATGCGTTAGAACAACGCAACGCATAGGATTTATCTGATAAATTTATCGCATGAATTCATCCATCGATGATGAATTCATCTGTAAGTATTCTCTGTCATTGTGCGACGAACATCCGCTCTCTCTCTCTCTCACGCATCTCTCGCTCGCCTCCTTTTTCATATCATTTCGTCGTCTGTATATATTTTTTTTTATATAGCACTCGTCTAATTAAATAAGAAATATCCTGACAACTTGTTTCTGAAGATGGCGAAAAAGAAAATCCATTGTTACTATAGTAATGAGAAAATGATTTACAAAGTCAGCAGCCCATGGATATGGCAGTGCCTGCAAGGAAAGTTGCGTAAGCTTCAAATATTTGTTTTTTTTTATGATGAATTCTTTATTTAAAACGTATTGAGCCATATATATACTTCGGGGAAAGCCAAACATAAAAACATAAAAACAACAGCAACAGAAACGATGGCGGCGAATGCAGCCCAAACTACTAAATTAACAGTTACTCCGAATATTGCCATTCGACTCACCAGTTAATTATCTTGAAAAGTTTACTTGTTCCAATGACCATGCCACTTCAGGTGCCCTTCATCTCTCTTTCTCTCACACTTATCGTATTTGTTGTGCCGTGTGCCGTGAATTCGATTAAAGTTACCAACACGAAAAGAAAAATAATGTAATATAATCGAGGTCTCCGATTTCGTAGCATCGCTCGATGCTCGTTCACCATCTCCCTCGCTCCCACAACCTATCTCTGTATTTTATACATATTTTATATACTTACACTGAATTAAGAGCAAGCACATTCAGCGAATATCTGATTTCAAAATAAATGTTCTCTTCTTGTTTCGTGTTTCTCTTCACAATTTCTTCATCTTTTACAACAAACTTTGGCAAAGAACTTTTTTACAGTAAATGTCGTCGCGTTCTGATTACACATCGAAATACTTTCAATTTCCGCTGAAACCATCAAATTATCGATGCTTTTAAAGTTTCAAGCACAAAAAGAAGTATTTCACTAGTGAATTGAATGATGAAAAAAAAAAACACACACACACACACACACTTATTTATACATATTGCATACAAGCGAAAAATGTTGTATTTGAATTTTGTCGAGTTTGGCAATTAAATTTAATTTATCGAGTCTGTTTGGAAATTTGCGAGAAAAAAATCAAATGAACAACATGAAACATACTGTGTGTGTGTGACAGTGAATTGGAATAAAACTTCATTACTTATTTATTAGCGGTTCACCGGCGGCGAATAATCATTATGGACGTGTCTTTTTTTCGTTCACTCGTTCGCTCGCTTTGGTCGAGCACGTAGTTTTTTTTGTTTGTTTTACAGGCGCTGAAGCTTCAAACGGGATAGTATTGCGCTTGAGAGAGTTTTGCAGAGGATATGCCATCATTAGGCGATCCTTATTTCATTTGTGTTTTTTTTTTCACTTTGTTCATCTTTCAAAAGAGAATTCTCCGCTTCAGAAGGATCTTCCGGTCGAAAGAAGTATTTGCAACAAAGTCCACATTTTTATTTTTCTTCGGTACCTATGGTTTTTTTTCCCTTTCGCCCATCTCATTTAGTCAGTCTGGACTGAGTGGTTGGAGAACACACAGACCGAATGAGTTGTAATCGTAATTAAAAGGAAAGCCATTTTTTGTTTTATTTTCTTCCCGGTAATTTCGTCAAAAGGAAAAGTGAAAAGCTTCAGCCCGGGAACATTTTGGATTAGCTGTGTGAAGCTTCGACGATCTGAAATGTACTCTTAACAACAGAAACACCGCATAAAAGTGAAAGCAAAGTATGTATGCGTTCTTAATCATTTCAAAAGAGTGTTGGCAATTTTGCAATTGCGCGCTTCGCAACACACACACACACATACACCTCGATGATTTCTTCTTTCAGTGAGCGAAAAAGCGAAACAGAGTTGCGTTCTTTTTATGTACTTGCAAAGCAAACAATCCAGTCAATATCATTAAATGAAAGAAAAGTGAAGGCATCGAGCTGAAAGAAGAAAGAAAGAAATAAGCGAGAGTGGCGTGAAGAAGAGCCTACACGTTTTTCGGTCAGAGGCAATGGAGGTGGTGAAGCTACGGCTGCCATCGTCCTCCTCACTGATACTGTTGCAGGAATTTAGTAACGAAGGTACGCCACGCCACCTTCAAGAACGAAAGAGAAAAAAAAAATGGAAAAGTTTTGATAGCTTAATCTATCAGCCGAATAATGTTTATTTTGATGTTATTAGAAATTTTCCCCAAGATATCATTACAGTTTGTAGCTACTGTTGTTATTTGATCACATACATTTCTCGTCGTTGGGGTGCTCTTAACATTTTTTTTTTGCCCTGCCTCTTCTTCTTCTGATGTTGCTCGGCACTTGGGCTCTCTTCTTTTGAACAGCGTCAGCAGCTTTAGCAGCGGCAACAACGGCGGTGGCGACGACAGAGGCGAGTTTTCAACAAGAAAATATTTCGTCTTCGCTTCGCAGAATATTTGGATGTTGTACACGCAGAGCACGCGTCGGTTGTCTATTTTATTTACATGTGTTTATAACTTGGACATGCACACAACTGTACACCGTGTGTATATATACGGTTGGAAATGCTTGAATTGCGCCACAGATAAGCAGACATGCCAATGGTTATAATATTTGCCCGTACAATAAACACATTGTTATAATCGCCGAACTTCGATTTAGCTGTAAACGAACTTTTTTCACGTATCATCATTTGAAGTTGTTTATTTTCTTTTCTATTTCTCTTTCACGTTCTCCCTTCTCTCGTCCGCTCGCCTGCTCGCTGACTCGCTTTCTCGCTTTCAATCGTCACACTCAAATTCTTGTGAACACTACTACGGCTCGGTCGGCATACGGTTGGTTCGTGCGTGTTTTGACCATTTCGTCGTCTCCTCGCAACTAGCATCTCTCTTCTTCATTACTATATCGTTCAATTTATAGCCTTCATTACATCACATGTATAGCTGATGCTATTATTTTTAATACATAACGCACACACAAATGCACGTAAACCGTCGATTCTTACGAGCCATCTGCCGATGCCGATGCCCATGTCCATCACATCATCTTCATCGATGCGATATCAAAGTTGATACTCACGTTTTTATCACATTTGGTCCACAGTGTTCACTTTACCACGCGTGTTTCACGTGCACTCCCCCCCTCCACACGCCGAACGCTAGAAGCGTGAGAGTGGGTGAGTGAGAGAAAGAGAAACAGAAAAAGAGATCAAGCACGAAAGTCGCATGAGAATTCCACATAAATGGTATCAATAAGCTGATCAACGTAGTAAAATGGCAATAATTATCATAGAGCATTTAATCGATATTAATATCGTGAATGTCTGTAATTAAACGTCTTTTGGGCCCATGCGAACAATGTTCTCATCCGAAATTTCAAATGTTTGTTTTCGTTGCTTCTTCACCTTTTAGAAACTGAAACGAGTACTCCGCCTAAGTAAGGAAATGATTGAAACAATGGCATTTCACAAGCAATGGCAAATTTTGCCAAAATTCATTTAATTCTAATTAGAAATATCATAAGCACTTTGAAATAAATCCAAAACTAAAAATATCGTAATTTAAAATGAAAATGTAAATCTACTTGATGACGACGGCATTTCACAACTTTATGCATTTACACGCGTCATTGATCCGCGCTGGCTATTGATCGTCCCATCGCGTTTCAAACCAATGTTTGGCAGATTGGGCCGGACTTCCTTGTTTTTCACATAAAACATTTGGATTTCTTCCAAAGTTTTATTTTCCGTTTCGGGCAATGTGAAGAACATAACGATACATCCGAATCCGGCTACGGCTGAATAAAACCAAAATGTTCCGTTCAGTGTAAACGCCGCCACCATGTTCAAGAATAATTTGTTTGACATGAATCCGACTAAGTAGCCAATTGCACTGGATAAACCAGCTGCCGCGCTTCGACAATCCATTGGATACAACTGAAAAGATAATGAAAGAAAAACGTACACATGTGAATAAGCAATTTCGCCACACAAAATTTTGCGAATATGTTTGATTTCAGTCCTTACCTCTCCAATCAACATCCATGGAAACAATTTAGCACCGCAATGTGCGAACATCGAACCGCACAGCAATAGTATCAATGGCACCCAGCGATAATTTTCTTCGCTTTCACCATGCTGTTCGGCCGCCATTTTTCCAACCGTAATATTTTGCACGAACGTCGACAAAGTTGTAGCCAATTCGTTCACATCGGTTGCCAGCTGTGACTCCTTAATAGTGTCATTTGATGTCAATACACTCCACATATTCTGTTCAATTTTCTCAACTATTCGCGAAGTTGCAAGTCGGCTGTCTTCGTTTGGCATAAATGGTAGAATGATATTCTTGCTGATGTTTAGCAATTCGATAAGTTTGTCGGTGTCAATTTGAACGTCGGTCGCATTCACTAATTGACTTGATTTCTTTGGATTGACACTGTTCGGATTGGCGAGTAGGCCGGCTTTTTCAAAGAACTCCTTCAATTTTTGCTGATTCATTTCCGTAAAATTACGATAATTTGCCCCATGCAGGGCTAATTTTAATACTTCTGTAAGAATATGCTGGTCGATATGTCTGAATCCATTAGTGTTGACTTTGTGATTGCCAATTTCAAGGAATTCTGGAATCGTTCCATTCTCGCTAGTAATATGAATGGCCTCATCAGCGGCCTCCTTGTCAATACGAATACGTAGTGTTACAATGGAGCTGAGAACATTTTGTTCGAGATTGTCGATTGTGGAATTGAGTGTGATTGGGCTTGGGCTTGGGCTTGGGCTTGGGCTTGGGCTTGGCTTGAAATCAACTTGATATGATCCTTCGCGAAGATGTGATTGTGTTGCCAAGGCAAAGAAGCTTAAACCACATCCGATGAATGATGCAAATACCAGACCACGTTTGCCAATTGATCGCACAAACACCATACCAATCAAACAGCCAATCACTTGAGCAGCTCCAAGGAAAATTGTCGCGTAGTATTCGTTGATTGGAACGCGATATGAGCTCAAAATCTGAATGGAATATGTTTGCAGTGGTGTCATTCCGGAGAAATGGCCAAATATGAAACCGACGAAAATAAGGAGGAATGGCAGAATGAATGTGCGTCTTTTGAATGGCTTCAGCTTTGAGGTGACAGTAATATTTTCAATGGAACGTGCTTTCTGTTGTGCTTGAAGATCCTCGACAGAACTAGCAACGCTCGCGAATTCATTTTCAATTGCTTTGAACGATGTCCAGCCTCGCAACCATTTCAATGATTTTTGTGCATCTTCGATACGTTTCTTTGAGTATAACCAATAGGGAGATTCAGGAACCAGAAATACCGCATTGAATGCCAAAAATGGAATTATTGCCGATATTGCGGCCACTGTTCGCCAATGCAACATCGAACCAATGATGAACTGAAGGCACACACCACCCAAAACAGTCGCTGTTCCAGACGCTGTTAACATGCCTCTATACTGTGGTTCCACTGTTTCGGCAATGTAAATCAACAACTATAAAAAGATAATAGGATTGGGTGGAATGGCAATTAACACAGAGTAAAAACACTTAAATCTACGTTGCAAAATAAATTATAAACCATTATGACAAAAGAAAATTGACCCACGATAATCTTAATAAAATACTTACAGGTGCTTCTAACAGCCCACCGCTCATTCCCGATAAACAAAGAGCGAGATAAATTTGTGTAATATCTTTTGCGAAGAAAAATAACGCCCAGGCAGCCAACATTGGTAAATTCAAGAGCTGCACATAGAATGAAAGAAAAATGGTTGAATGTTGCACGAATGCCTTGATTCTTTTTTCACTAATATTCTAAACTCAAGTAAACATTCAGAACTAAACTTCTTTTTACAATGTTACCAAAAATTTTGATCAAATTTTGATTCGAATAATTTTAAAAAATCTGGTACGTAAATTTGATTTGGATAAACACATTCAATTCTATTATTACTATTCAACTTCATCGATTTTAGTTGAACTCATTATAAATTTCGAAAATTGCATGAAAAACTACTGACTTGAAAAATGTTGGAAAAAATTTGGAGAAAAATTCCACAAATATCGCGTAATATTCCACTAATAGTCACTGGTTTTCCATGTTAGTAGGAATATATTCACAAAACACAGGTGCTGTGTTGCTCTTCAAAAGTTTTAAATTATTTTACATATTTTACATAAATAGAAATAAGCACAGTAATTCTTCATCATTAATTCGTCCGAATGATATTCAGGTCATTATTTGTGTTTCCCTAGCAAAATTCTTCGAAACATTTCGAACTAGTTCAATTTCTAAGTTGTGAAAAAGTTTGGTTTGAACGTGAAACGCACCTGCATCATTCTTCGTTTACCGACGGGATCCATGAGCAATCCACTCGTTAAGCTTCCCAATGGTACACATAATAAATTGATCGATCCAATCCAAGAGATTTGATCATCATTCAGTACAAAATCTGGTTGATCCGTTGCATTTTCGCCTTTGTATTGGCCAGTAGTATCAGTCAACCCAGGTATCAATAGCGTGGGATAACCAAGAATCAAACCCCATCCCAGCAGAATTAAATTTTTCACACCCACCACACAGAACTGGGGAAGCGCTCGCCGAAAATTGCTAACTTCATCTTTTTTGTCCTCATGCGACTGTGTCGACTGATTAATAGTCGTACTACTAAACACCATACGAACAAACGACCAAATTCATTATTAATTTCAAAAACGAAACACACAAAAAATCAACACTAAAACAGTGCTAACATACACGCTTACCCATAACTCTGTGCCATTTTACGCTTTTATGTTTAACAAAGATAGAACGACGAACAAAAATAAAGAAAAACGAAATACGAAACTATAACGGGAAACAAAAAAAAACTAATAACAAACTCTCTCTCTCTCTCCCGGTCCACTCTTACCGCTAAAAACTAAACTGCACGCGACCTGTGTACGGACTAAATGAAAGACGACCTTCCACGTTCACTTCCTCGGCCAGAAGATTCTGAATCGCTGTGGTGATGGTTGCTTTTAAGTAAAAGGCAACACACAAAAAAGAACGATAACACACAATCTGAAGCGGATAAATCGTGTGAGCGTTGGCGCGCGTCAATAAAATGATAAACACATTTTTGCACATTTATTATCTGTAAGTCAATTTTTGTGTGTAGAATTGTAAAATAATTTAATTGGATTGTTGTTGTATACGCTCTTATTAAATGCATTCATTCGAAAATTTCCACTGATTTTATAAACTAAACACATTGACTGAACTAGTAACTTCGAGAAATCATTTTTCTTCATTGAATTTTATTTAATTGACAACTACAACAACAATCCTATTAACAACCGAATCTCCGTGCTAATTTTCCATTGATACACAAATTTATAAAACCAGTGTATACAGTAGAATGGTGATTTATTGAAGTGAGGGCAATTGTTGTTGTCATGTTTCTTAGATTCTCTCTCGTTTTGCTTGAATAATTAAATAGTCGGTAAACATTGATGTGTGTGTGTGTGTGTGTTTGTGTGACACAGCGGCATTGAGTGAATATTGTGTATAAACTTTATGATTCAGAATAATCGAATTTAATTTACAATCTTTGAGTTCCACTCAATCATTCACATTTGTGTCACATTTCGATAGGGAATCGAACGGTTTTGATCAATTGTTTAACGCCAAAATGTGCTCGTCATAACCGACTTCTACTGTGGCTATTATTGGGGATCTTCATTTGATTAATTTTCACACTTTTGTGTCTTAATGCATGGGTTATTTACTTTTTTTATTTCCTTTGATTTAAGCAAATTTATTTTGGATCTCACATTTACCAGACGAAAAAAAAAAACGGCGTGTCGCAGTGCTTAAATTATTCAGTGTGAGATAAAAATTGACATGATTATTAGTCGACGCAGTTTATTCCAATGATTCTGGAATTTTTTTTGGCAAAATAAATAAAATCATTCTGGAATCAAATTAAATTGGTTGATTGCTGCATTGTATTTGTGTGAACACACTATGTGCCGGTGGCACGGCGGCAGAAGGAATGGTTTATTTCGTGACGAAATTATCACAATTGTTAATGTGAGATTTTGTTATTTTCATTTGAGTTGCGGTGGGAATCACATCGACAGCGGCTGATCAATGGAAGATTTCACACTTCGTTTTTGCATATGTTATATCCAATTTTATAGTTTTGTTTGTTTTATGTACATTCGTTTTTTTTTTCCAGAATTTTTATTGGATATCGACGTAAAATTTCGAATGGACCATTTGTATAGTAATCGTTTTGAAGTTTTGGATACTTTTGGAGGTGAGGGGGGGCTGGTTTACATTTAAGTTGCGGTAAATCAAACTGCAAGATATACGCTCCAGTACACTTGGTTGATTTCAATAACTTTCTCTTTCACTCGGTCGTATTCAAGTTTTCGGGATATACCACTTGATCGGATGTTGCAAAACGGGCCCCAAACAACAAAAAGTACTCCTAGGAGTGAGCGAGAAAAAAAACGAACTGAAAATAAATATGAAAGAATGCGTAAAATTGTTTATGAATATTTGATACATGATGCAAAAAAGCACACTGATTTCCCCGAAAGATTAACATGGGGCAAAAATAAGCGAAAACGATAGCCAAATGGCAATAATATTGAAAGCCAACTAAATAAAACCTATTGAGTAGCATTTTAACGATTGTATTCTTTTTTCTCATCCAAAGAGTAAAACTCATATTGATGGCGGCGTTTGTATACACGCCATACGGTTCACATTGTATGTATTTACAAGTTGGTATAAATTTTGTTGTTGATGATGATGTTGCTGCTCGTCAGATGCTACTGTGAATTCTATGTTGTTTGTCCTGTGTTTCTGTGATTCTAAACATGCTGAAATGTGTGTATCAACGATGACGACAATTTGTAATAAAAATGAATGTTGGAAGGGAAAAAAACGTAAAAATCAAACGCTCCGGCATAAAGTTGTAAAGCGAGTATACAACAAAAAATATAAACTCACATACCCGTATAATATAGACACACAAAAGAAATGGTGAAATGGAAAAATAAAATCTGATGAAAGCGGCAAACAAAAAAATTGCGATTTACAGTCAAAGTCCAGAACGATATGAAAAAAAGTTTGCAGTGAAATTGTATGTGTTTGTAATACATTGCATTGATATAAATTGAGAGTTTTTGATTTTGACCCTCCAGTCATTTTTTCGATTTGATATTCGATATTAATAAATATCGTAAGTACATAGTCTCTGTTAAATATTTATATTTGATGCTATGAATACAATTTTTCTCTCATATTTCGGTGTGTAGCACGCGGCGCATAGTGAATGACCGAGCGAGCAAGCGTGTGGCTTGAGCGAAAGCATTTGTATACACAAACGACGATGGCCAGAGCCGTTCGACCGTGCTAGATGCTTGTCGGATGCCATGTATACACCATAATTGATTCCCACAATTTATCATCATGAAATTTTTTTCACAAAATTTAATGTTCGAACGGGGAAGTAGGGCCCGATTAGTCGTTCTCTCTCTCTCACTCTCTCTATCCCTTGCTCCTTCCCTCTCTGTGTATATGAAACAAAATCGCTATCGGATTCGGATGACTGTCATTTAATCGCTCTGCGGCCATCACAAACATCAAGTTCGATTACACAGATTGGAATTTCTCTCTCTCTCCCCCTCTCGCTCGCTTTTGCACTGCCTTTCATCACATTTGAGCTGCAACAAGCATTCTCGCAATGTCGTTTTCCCCCTTCTTGCCACTCTTTGAACAGCCCGTTCTTTCGAAAGTCAAGTACATGTGATTACAGATTTGGTGCCGGATATTAACAATTTTATACGCACACAAACATTTTGATTATCGATTGGAATTTTTTTCCCAACTCGTCACTCACTCTCTCTCTCTCTCTCTCTCTCTCTCTATCGCTCTCACACACATACTGTTGCCTTCCTCTCTCGGTTGCATTTGTTGCTTGAAATATTTCTATTAAATTACCCAAAAGTCTCAATGGAAAACGAAATTTATTGAATTTTATTTGATTGAAGCAACAGTAATTCGTTGCAAAATATCAGCAACAGCATCAACAGCAGCAGCAGCGCAGCAGTAGCATTAATGGATATTCGCTTTTCAGTGGAACGTAATTTAATAGAAAACCGTCATTTGCAACGTTCATACAATTTTTATTTGATGTAATAAAAAAAAGGGGGAGAACAAATGACAAAATGTCTATAAAAACGTCATCAGATTCACATTGCATTCCATGGATCTGGTTGGAAAATAAAACGTTTCTTTTTGTCATCGGTACGATTGCGAGAACGTTCTGCATTGGATGTGCGTGTGTGATTTTGTTGGCTCATTCTCATTCTCATTACGAGTGAACACTTCAGCTCTCTGGCGAGTGAGGCGAAAAAATTAAATTAATTTATAACAGCATTTAACACTGTTGGATGCTATATATGTTTATCTTCCGCAACATTGTGAGCAAACAATTGATGTGCATGCAAATATTTGTTTAAATACTAATCCCAGTTGAATTTAGATTAAACGTGATGTGATAAATTATCGATGTGATAATTCAGCGCCATGACAATAGATCATAAAGAAAAATTCCCAAACAAATAGCACTGGGTGGTTGAGCGCTGAAATCACAACTACACAGTACGCGTGTTTGCAAAAGTGAATCGTCAATTAAAAAATTCGGTTTTTGTGTTCGTGTGTTAGTGGTGTGTTCATTTTGTTTGTGCAACATGTGCTGATGATGGTATGAATTGATGTTACTGTGCAGCCATTTACAACAGTCGAATTGATGATAAAAACCAATTTTATACAAGCAGAAAAGAGGTTTTGAATCGTTGTGAACTTTTTTTTTTCTCAAATTTTGATGCGATTTATGAACAGGAGAATGGCATTAGACAGAGAGAACGAGAGATGTGGCATTGGCTGTAAGATGCGTTAAGGGTCACACTTTATCGAAATGTTTTTCAACAGCAATAAAGTCGTATTTTTCCATTTATTGTCATGATAAGGTGGAATTGATGGAGACAACAAACAAGTGACGGTACCCCTCACCAAGATTTCAACATACACACACCAGAGATTATTCAGAGAGCTAATGTAATCACAACGTAAAATCTGAGGGAGAGAGAGAGGGGGAGAGAGAGATAGCGAACGATCATATAACAAATAGACAATAAACTAATAAACAAGGAGAAACGTCGTATATTTCGCACTTTTTATTGCTTGAGTGCCATTTAATTTATTTTGAACGCTTGTTGTTTTATCAAATGATTAATTTGCCGTAATTTGTTTCCATAAAATGCATCGAAGCACTGTTGTGCTTTTGCTAATGCACCGATTGTACGTTTGACTGCGAATTTGATTGGTCCAATGTCAATGTTTTCCGATGTGACTCTTGTGATAATTGTTATCGTGCGGCAAATGTGTATATGTGAGCTTGTTTTTGAAGCGAGTTCTAGAGAGTTAGATCGAACACTTGCTATTTGGTGCCACATTCTGCAAATTTTATTGAATTACTAACCATTTATTATTTATTAAAACGATAAAACAGCTTTCTTTAGTTGTAGAAATTCGATTGTTATCGAAATAGTTTTTGTAAGCGGTCATTTTCCAGATTAACAATAAGAGATAGAGAGATGGAGGTGTATGTCATGGAAATGGGATAGTTTAAATTTTCCAAATTCGCTTTAGAGGTGATTTTCTGGAAAAGCGGTTGGATTTATTTAAGGTTTCACATCGCACAATTAAAAAAAAATCGGCTCAATTTTTTTTTCTCTCACTACAGTTGACAGCATTTCTCGTTCGGTTGAGGATTCTTTTTTCGGTTTGCCTTGTTGTTCATTCAGTTGACCATTAAAGTTGGCGTCTGACAAGCGACCATTTTCAAAGCGGGCAAAACTGAATTCACCGCTGTGACATTAAACCGAATTCGTTGTAGAAAAAAAAATATACCGCTGTATTTGTAGAAGGTCTAATTAAAATGGAATAAAGTTTGTGTTTTTTTTTGTTTAAGTAGCTCACCTATATGGCACAACTAAATATAAACAACAGAAGAAAACTCGAATCGTTGTTGGCAAAAGAGAGCGACAAAAAGTTTAAACACAAAAGTAATAGGAAAAAAAGACAAAAGTGGAAATATCGCTGCAACAATGAAAATGGGCAAAAATGCGGAATGAGGCACGGAACGAGCGAGCGAGAACGAAACAGAGAGAGAGAGAGAATAAGAGACAGGCACCGAATGAAAGAAAGGGAAACAAACGAATGGCAAAATGGATATAAGCGCTCCATATCAAATTTAAATGGATAGGTAGAAAATGGTGAAAAGAATCCCTACGAACTAGTGCTGAGCACTCCATAGAATGAATCTCAAATTTAATTTAAGTTTTCAACTTTGTGTTTATGTTGTTGTTTGTATCACATCAAAATTTATTTAATAAAATTGAACAAAAGAAAAATTTCATCCATGCAGCAATGCGAAGCCAAAGAGATGTGATGAGTGAAGAGAGAACAGTGTGGTGGGAAACGGATCTGAAAAGCAGTGAGAATAGCCACACACGCACACACACAAAGACGACGAAGAAGAAGAAGAAGAAGAATGGCGAGAGGGTGAACGAAGCGACAAAACAACAAATGAACAGCGCATTCAGTGAAACATTACTCATATCAAATGTCAGTGATATGCGAAGTGAAACGAGCTTCCAAATCCTCTCTCTTACAATCGACGACTCCGAATATTTTCCGTATGAAGCGAAAATTTTAATTACTCCCTCGAAAAAAATGGGAAAAAGAGACAGGGAACGTGGTCAATGCTTTTGCTCGACTCGACTCGACTCGACTCTTCGCGGCTCTGCCACTTTGCAAAGCCATCCAATGGAAAATGGAAGGTAAACCATGACAAGAGAGAAATAAAATAACATTTGAAACAACATTTCACCACCCAAGCATACATACACACAATTTCGCAAAAAGAAAACGACTGGGCAACACTGGCATTGGGAAAAACACTGAAACTCCATTTTGACCTACAACAAAACAATAAAACCAACACTGCAAAATGTATCAAACGAAGAACGCACCAAATTAAACAATAGAAATTGCAGTCAAAGCAACAGTGCCCGTGCTTCATACATTCGATATGAATACATGTATACATATGACAGCCAAGATTATTTTCGGAGTTTAAGAAATTGAATATCATTCAAACATGAAGTCTTTTTGCTACAAAATACTCTACAAACGATACAATGAAATAAGCCAATTGGCAAATATGCTTTGTGATAGGAGAGAGAGAGCCTTCTTTGACACACATAACTCAAACAGAGGCCATTTTTGCCATTATTTTGAAAAACGAACATGAACACGATCCGAACAGTTTTGTGTATTGTGAGAATTTGCCACCTCAGAGCCTCATGTTGCAATTAAATTTCTTGCAAGGATTTCATTCATTTTGGTTTATCGCATGGGTTTTAGTGATGACGTCTCTCTCTCTCTCTCTCTCTCTCTCGCTCGCTTTCTTCCTCTCTCTATAAATTTGATCCGTTTGATAGTGTACGAAAAATGAGACGAAGAACAAAGCAGAAAAAAAATGTTGTCATTTGGTCATGTTACATGAGAGTAAACCACAGAGTATGAAACTGTTTGCAATTTGA